TAGCAATAATGAGAGTGTATCCTTTTCTTGTTCAAGAACTTATGGGAAAATACTCAAATTTACTACTGAAAATAATGTTAACTGTAAACTGCTCACAGGTGACCTTTATACCTGTGGTTGAGGAAGTTACTTACTTTTTTAGTTTGGTGAGTATGTTCAATCATGAATGGATATCACGTTTTTTTCCAAATGACTTTTTGCCATCAATTGATGTGGTCATATGGCTTTTCCTGTGTAGTCTGTTAACATGGTATATTCAGATTTATTTCTGAATACTGAACTAACTTTGCATTCCTAGGATGAAATCCATTAGGCATGGTGTGTCATTCTTTTTATATAGTGCTGGTTTGAACTTGTTAAAAATTTTTTGAGGATTTTTATGTCTGTGTTCATTAGAAATATTGGTCTACAGGGTTTTTTTTGTATTATGTATTGTCTGATTTTGTATGAGGCAATGTTAGTCTTATAAAATAAGATGGGGGTGTTCTATATTATGAAAGTGGTTGCAGAATTGGTGTTAATTTTAAATGTTTGGTTAAATTCACCAGTGAAACCATCTAGGTCTGGCGATTTATTTTTTGGAATGTTTTCAACTACGAATTTAATGTATTTGATCAGGTAGCTTATGAATTTTGTCTTGAGTAGCTTTTAGTAGTTTGTGGTTTTTGAGGAATTGGACCATTTCACCTAAGTTTTCCAATGAAGAGTTGTTTGTGGTGCTGCGTAACTGTCTTTTTGATGTTTGCATGGACTGTAGTGATACCATTCATTCCTCATATTGGTAATCCATACAGTTTTCTTTTTATTGGTCAGTCTTTCCAGGGGTTTAATCAACTGTATTGATTTTTTAAAAGAAATAGCTGTGCTTCTTTGCTTTTCTGTTCCTTTCAGCAACTGGATTTGCAGTTTTTCTGCTCTTAATATTTACTTCCTTCTACTCGATTTGGGTTTATGCTGCTCTTCTTTTCATAGTTTCTTAAGGTGGGCACTCAGCCTACAGACTTGAGACATTTCTTCTTTCCTAACATAAGCACTTAATGCTATAAATTGCCTTCTAAGCACTACTTTAGCTGCACACTCACTTTGACCCATGGATCATTAAGTGTTAGCTCAACATCCAAACACTTAAATATTAAGCTACACACTTAATAATCTGTGGGTCAAAAGAGCAGTCTCAAGGGAAATCAGAAATATATTGAACAAAATGAAAATGAGAACACAACATATCAAAGTGACCATACTGCTTGTTTTCCCTCTGCCTTTTGTGGTTGGCCTTTTCTATGTGGGCTTCTCTTTTGGATATTTGAACATTTCAAAGCCTTTTACCTTTATGTATTTATTGTGATTTTGACTATATCTCTTTTAATAGCTTTTTGGGAGGATTACAAAATATGTATTTAACAATTATAGTCTACTTAGAATCAGCACTGTACCACTGTTTGATTCGAAGGATAGAAAACTTATATATCTCTACCATCTTCCTTTAATATAGGAACATGTTTCATATGTCTATATACACTAAAAACCCCGTAAGACTTAATTCTTACTTTTAATCATAGAAAATGCTTTAGTGAACTCAAAAGCAGAACAATATTCTCTTTACCAAGATATTTACCATTTCTATTGGTTTCATTCATCCCTTTATTCTCAGTTTCCCTTTGGTAGAATTTGCCTTCTGTCTAAAGAACTTCCTTTAGCAATTTTTTCAGGGCAGACCCACTCCTATACATTCTCTTAGCTTTCCTCCACTCTTCAATGAATTTATTTTTCTCTCCATTCCTGAAGGGTATTTTCATGGGATACAGAATCCTGGGCTGACTGTTCTCTCTTTTGGGGGGAGGGGAGAGGATGCCAATACTTTCACTCCACAGTTCAAAGTCTTGATTTCATTTAGCTTTTTGCCAGCAAAATTCTTACTGGTGTGGCAAATGTTAGAAACTTAAAAAGTGCTTTATCTACATTTTCAGCTGGAGGATCTTTCTGGATATCGAGCCAGCCATACAGGAGAGAGTTAAAACTTTGTTCATGTTTATGGTCATTGAAATAAAGTATTATGCTAAGAATTTCAGCAAAGTGTCTGTTTTAGTCAGTCTCCACTTGCTGTGACATAATGCCTGAGTTAATCAATTTAGAAGGAGAGATTTATTTGGCTCATGTTTTAGAGGCTTCATTACACAGCTGGCCCTGTTGCTTTGGTTCTGTGGTGCAGCAGAACATCATGGTAGATGAAGTCTATTTACCTCACGGCAGCTAAAAGCAGAGAAAAATAGAGAAAAAGAGAGACAGAGACAGAGATGGAGTTGGGCCTCAATATTTCCTTCGAAGGCATATGCCTTCCAGAGGTCCCATCTCCTAAAGTTTCTATCATCTTCCAACAGCACCACACTGGCAACCAAGTCATGAGACCTTGGAGGACACTCTAGATCCAAACTGCAGCAGTCTGCAACACAGACCAACTGAATAAGCAATGTTCCTAAATCTGAACACTTCTGCTGCAGGTATTTACACACATTCATTTTAACAACTTTAAGATGGGCATTCCACTTTTAATATTAATAACAGAAGATTTATTAGACCAGGGACATCCAGAGAGTAAGAGGTGGAACCAAGATTTTAATCCAGATGTCCTCAACCTTGCCCAGTTTATCATACTGCCTCTCTGGTAGAGGAGGCTGATCTGTGGGGATTTTCTGTAGACTATCTAGGAGAGAGTAAGGAAGGAAATCCATTGCAAGGATTTGGGACAGACTTTATTGTCATATTAACTGGCAGCAACCCCAAATATAGTGAGGATACACATAGGTCTGCAAAAGTTACCAAATGTGAGCTGTTCAACCTGGCAAGGCTTTATGTTTCTTTGTGATATTTACCCAAATTCCAATTATGTGTACAGTGAATAATTAAATCTAAACTAAAACTACCACAAAACCTTAAACAACTGATCTTCATTCCGTTTCAAAGCTTATACATATGTTGGGAAACTAAGTAACAAAAGGTGGGGATGATTGGGTTGAGCTTTATAAGGTGGTAAAGCTTGCTCAAGTGATTTCTGAATTGGTCCAGTTTCGAATATCGCCTTCCTAACTGGTCCTCCATTCCTGGTTTCCTCTTGGTTTTGCTCTGTTGTTTTATATCTTCACCTCAGCAATCTTCTTTTTTTTTTTTTTTTTTTTTTTTTTTTTTTTTTTTTTTTTTGGTTTTTCTCCGGTACCGGGAATGGAACTCACGATCTTGCGCTTGCCAGGCAGGCGCTTTTGCCGCTGAGCTAAATCCCTAGCCCCTCAGCAATCTTCTTAAAACATTCTTTGTGTTGCTTCTGTGTGGTTTTAATCCCTGATCACTAGTATTTGTTTAATTTTTTGTCCATGGCCTATATAATCTGGTTCCTAGTTTACCTCTACTGTTGTCCCTCTCAACTCCCTGCTTCTGGTGGCTCATTCACTCCTTTTCCTGTTATTCCTGACTCTTACCACTTGCATTTTCACCTCCAAACCACTGCTTACTTGTTCGCCCACTGTTCGTTCTGCTCCTCCCCACCGTCTCTGTCCTGCTCTTTTATCTTTTTTACTGATGCAACCTACAGATCCTTTTATATCTACCTCTCTTCATTCATTTGGACATTTGTCTGTGCAGTGAAGTGTAAGCTCCCAGGAGTAGCTCTAAGGTTCCTTTCCCCATGAAATTTATCAAAAAGGATGGTATCATTTTTATTCCACATCTAGCCTAGTTGTGACTTCATCTTTGGGGAAGATCTCATTCTGATTCAACTGATCTATCACTTCCATCCCACACTTTGGCTATCTCCAACTTTAATATGATCAGCCCCACACAATCTTGAATTATACACCTACTGCAGGCAATCTATCATAGTTTAGGTACTAGCTCTTCTGGGCCTATGACACAGCATATGGTTAAAACAAAGTAAAGAACATTTATCCAGAGGGAAAACTGAATTATAAGTTAGTCTCATAACTGAGGTAGTTATAAACTATGTTGCACAATGTTCTTGTTCTTAAATAAAACAATTATTAATACTTGAGTATATAAATTATTTTGCTTCACGCTGTGAAAACAACCAAGAGATAATGACTTCCCTTTAGTTTTAAGAAAAAGGCATTTCTATTCAAATGCTTGGTTTGCTTCCATCCTGTATTTCATTTTTTCCCTTGTCATTCCTTTTCTACCCATCACTTTTCTGTATTTTTGCCACCCCATCAATACAGATGGGATGAAGGGAAGAACTGGCGCAGTAATCATCTTACTGGCCCAGCTGGCGTCCTTTCCTCATCTTCCTATACTCCAGGGAGGTGAGGGAAGGTGATAGAGGATGTTGTTAGGGAGACAGAATGCACTTAAAAGAGCAACAGACATTTTTTAAAAAACCCCAGGAAAAACCACGGTGTGAAGTAGAATAGGGGAATTAGGTGGGATGTTCTAGAATTGTTTTTACCTACATTAGTGGAACTAAACCCCAGCCTTTCACCAATTCCTAGTGGTTATTACAAAACCACACATACTCAAGAGATTAAAAAAACACATTCAGATGAAAAGTATTTGGTAACTCCTCCATAGAAATTTGGCGAGTTAGGCAAAATGAAGAGGGCCAACATACTGCCTATCATGGGTTTTTCTTCTAATAGCACAGCCATAGTTGGTTGCCAAAACCCACATTTCACTGACTGAACAGGGCCAAAGGCTTATTTCCACTTCTAAGTATATTACTTAGTAGTATATGTAAGGATGTATCACCACTGCTTTTGCAATCCAAGACACTTGAAAATGCCACAAAAATAGCTTTGTTCCCAGTAAGTCAATGGACTTTCATTTAATCTTATTTAACTGTACTGTAGAAAGCAAGAAATAAAACAAAGTTTTAGGCTAGTTAGACATATATTTGAACCAAGATCCAAGAGGAAGGGATATGATCTCATTCTTACTGAGGCAAATTGCTGAGAAAAATAGAAGTGGTTATATTCTCTTTGCAATCTGCCGCTCCTTACCCAGAACATAAATTTCACTGTTGACTACGGCTGTGCTGAATCGGTACTTAGAGTACTGCATGGGCGCCCGCTCTCGCCATTGATCTTGGCTGGGGTCATACTGCAACAGTTTGTTGCTTAATCGATCAGGTTCTTCATCAGGAAGATCCATCTGCAGGGAATATGACAGCCAATATAATAATGCACCACTTAGAGGTCTTTGTGAGTACATGAGCACAATTAATCTAAGCAGACAGCCAAGAGATAAATAGAGGTTAACCAGAGTGACACAAACACATCAAATCCCAGGACTTGAGCTTGTGAGTATCCTGTCAATCAGAGGAATTTATATTCTAATATGATGGTGCTAAAGTTGCAGGGGTATAGCAAACAATCTGTGATTCTAGTAGTGAAACGCAATAAAAAAAAAAAATAAAGCAACTGAAAAACCTTAAAAATGAAACCAAGCTCTCTTGAACAGTATTTAAAGTGTAATTCCATGTTAACAAACTTTCTAGTTATGGATTTTAATAATATTTGTGTGAAACTAATTTTAATAATTCATAAGGCATTTTTCTAACCCATATGTGTGAAAGTTGCAGAAACATCTTAGTGTTTTAGTAGTTAAACTTTATCCCATAATTATAGCCCATCTATAAAAGATTTGAATTCAATTTTCAAGCTGTATGGACTAATATAAAGTTGTTTTTATGTACTTATATATTTTTAATATCTAGATAGTACAAATTGAACATGCTTCTTCTTACACAGATATAAATGACTTCTCAAATTCCAGGTGAAATAACATTTTCTGTATTCAATGTATCCGGAACTTCATGACTTCAAGCTAAGGCTTCATTAAATGTCTCTTTTTTTGTTGTGTTTTTGTTTGTTTGTTTTTTGTTTTTCTCCAGTACAGGGAACCGAACTCACGACCTTGCGCTTGCCAGGCAGGCGCTTTGCCGCTGAGCTAAATCCCCAGCCCCTTGTGTTTTTGGATCCAAATGTTCAACAAAGAAATAACTGCCAAACTTATGAAAGTTGTGTGCAACTGATTTTAGCGAACTACTTTAAATACTCCAAGAGCTCTGAGCACTCTGATACATTTCCAACTCCAGGTTATTCTGCAATTTAATGTATTGTTTCAGGTGCTCAATCAGATTAGCAAAAGCCTTTGTTATGCAGCACATGTTATTTGTTCACAGACTACAAATTAACAAATATTTACTGTTTTAATTTTCCTTCTTTTTTTAAAAACTTTGAGACAGGGTCTAACTATGCAGTTCAGGATGGACTCGAACTCACTATGTAGCCTAGGCTGGCCTCAAACTCATGGTAATCCTTCTGCCTCAGTCTCCTGAGTGCTGGGATTACAGGGATGCGCCACCATGCCTGGCTTAATTTTCCTCCTAATGTAAGTATTTTATTACTAGTTTGAAAAAAAAGCAAAGATGTGCTCTTCAGTTGTCTTCAGAGCTTGTTCATGAAAAATTAACTTATAAATGGACAGTTTTGAAAAAGTTTAACTATAACTTGTCAGATTTCAGGTACTAGATGTGATAAAATTTATACTACTTTTTGATCTGCTAACAAAAATGTGTTACCTGTTTGTAAAAGTTAACAAAGTTAACACTTTTACAAACAGGTATGATATACCATAATTGGCAAAATCCAAGCTTATAAAATGCATACAAAAGTGTCAGTTTTATCATGAGGCAAATCTTCAGGAAAAAAGAAAATACAGGCAAAAATACATTTATCTTATATTATGGGGATGATGAATGAGAGACTAATTTTTATAAGAAGGACTGGATGGCCAGGAGAGAGCAGCTGGAGAGACACTACTGTAAGTGCCAAAGGACCCAAGAGGACACTGAAAGAGGACAGAGGGTCACTGCGGTCACACTATTGACTTTAATTTTGGCTGTCATCACTTCCCTGGGCTTCCCTATAAACAGTATTCTGCTGTCCCCATCAGCTGATGCTTGACAAAAACCAAGTGTTCACAATCACAATGTATTTCTTTGGACAGGATTACACCATCACAGGGTCAGTATTTTGGTTTCCCACTTGGAGTAAGATTTTTAAATCTGGAAGAGACCTAAGAGTCTCTTGTTCCAGGTCACACAGCTATTGGATCTGGGACAGGTCTGCGATGAGGGTTCAGCTTCTCCGCCTCTTTTTACATGTTCCCTATAGATAATCCCTCAGCACAAAGCATCTTTCATAATTAGCAAGGATGGGAAAGACTATGAAGGATACAGCATGAATACCAAATGAAGTCATGCCTATAAATAACACATTTAAAATCTATTCTTCTAAATTGCTTCAACACTTTAAAACCTTAAATTTATATCTTATGAGACAGAAAGCATTTTATCAAAATGTAAGTCATACTCTTACATTGAGCAACTACAGCATTTTTGAACAGAGCCAGACTCAGCACAACCATGCCAACTAGGTGCACAAGAAATTTCTTAACCTGAGGGGTCCAGCCTCCGATCACATAAAGTTTATTTTTCACTGTCACTACAGCATGACACGCCAACTGCAGTGGAAGAGGAGACACCCTTTTCCAGTTGTCTCGTTCTACAGAGTACTTATCAACACAGTTTGTAACAAGGTACTGGTTTTTAATTTTCATCTGTCCTCCTACAACATAGAGGTCATTATGGACACTGCCCAGAGCATAGAGCTCCCGAAATTCAGTCGTGCATAACTTTTCCCAGAATTGGTTTCCTCTATCATGATACCTGTAAATCAACAGAGAGAGAACCCAGGATTAGAGCTGTTATGAAAAAAACTCACTCAAGAAACACACTGAAGTTTCTTTTCCAATTAAAAATGATGAGATCCACCCCTTCCAACATTAAAGCAGTGGCATGCTGTTCACTTTTTTAAAGGACTGATGAACAAAATATACCGTGCTTAAAAATGACTAACCAAAACTACCTGAAGAATTTTATTTTATTTTATTTATTTTTTTGTCTTTTTGAGACAGGGTCTCACTCTGCAGTTCAGGCTGGCCTTGAGCTCACTTTGTAGCTCAGGCTGGTCTCAAACTCACAACGATCCTCCTGCTTCAGCCTCCCAAGTTCTGGGATTACAGGTGTGCGCTACCGCATCCAGCACCTGAAGAATTTTACGAAAAATAATATATAGAAAAAGTACAAACTGTCCAGAATTAGTGTTCATTTCCTAACTCTGGGAAAGAAAATCAAGAATGAGTAGGAAAGTTTTTCAGCAAATCATTTGTGATTCTGCCATTAAAGAAGAAGTAAGAAAACACAAAAATACATACATTTGTCTTATTCTGGGGACAAGAAATATTTTAAAACTACACTAAAGAAATCATGATTTTAGGACAGAGAGTCTGAAAATACCTCAGTTCAAGATTTCAAACAGCATGATGTAGGCTTTGTAGAATTTTAAGGATTCCTGTGATTCTAAGGGGCTTAAAACTGGATCAAGACTAGCCAGGCATGGTGGCACACACCAGTAATCCCAGCACTTGGGAAGCTAAGGCAGGAGGACTGCTGTGAGTTCGAGGCCAGCCTGGGTGAAATAGTGAATTCAGGGACATGCTGAATTATATAGCAAGACCCTTTAATGGTTTGAGCAATCTTTCATTCTTACATCTGGTAATCTGAGCAAAGCAGTTGAGGATAGCAATATGTAATTAACAACCACTGTTGATGCGTATTATTTTGTCTTGAGACTTTGTATCACTTTGAATGTTTTGATTTGCATATGTTTTTGACAGTGGTATGCGCTACTGTTCTATTTTTTTGTTGTTGTTGTTTCTCATTTACTACTTTCTTTAAAATAAAAAACAAAGCAAAACAAAACAAAACAAAAATTGGATCCAGAGCACTGAATAAAAACTCCATGAAGAAGGAAATAAAGGGCAAAATGAGGGTAATGTAAGGGACAATAATAGTAATGGATAGGGTCAAAACATATTTCTGGCATGTATGAAAATGCCACAGTGAAATCCTGTATTTTGTAACATTAATATATACTCATACAAGAAATAGAGAACACTAAGGTTTTTTAAAGCAGAAAATGCTATAGTTGCATGTTAATGGAATAAAGTACTTAAAAATTCAAATAAAACCCAACCTCTCTAGAAAGCTGCAGGGCATTTGACATCTATTTTAATCAACTAGATATGGTAATTTCTTACTGGAACAGTTCCATCAGTCTGAAGGGAGTCTGGGGAGATAGGAGCCCTGGGATATATGGTCTCAGTGCCTGCTGGAGTCCCACACAGTAACAGATCATCTGGTGGGGAGGGCACTAAGTACTTAGTGTATCTTGTCTTATAAGTCTATTTTTTCCAATCATGATCTGGGATACACAGTCTGAGAAGGACATAAGTACAAAACGAGGAGAGTGTACAAGTGCAGTGAAATAAAATACATGAAATTAAAAGTCCCAGGGAACCTAGATGGTCCACCTGGCATTAAAAATATAAAAACACAGGAGAGCATGGAAAATAAGAGAAAAGGTATTCTGTTTGGAAAGAGTAACAATGAAGGAATTATGATATTTTGTTTTGTACAGAGTACAACTTTTAAGTAACATCTGACAGTCATATAATGGGAGTTTCTCCCAATCATTCCAGGCTGACTGTTATACTCGCCAGAGAAGACATTTACTTCAGGGAAGCTGGAAGGTGTGTTCCTGTCCTAAAGGGCATATCTGGTTTGGTACTGTCAAATGCAGAAGCATACCAAACTTGATGATGCCTGTCTTTCACATAATTCTAGGCAGAAAACTTGCCTCTAGAATCACAGGTAATGTTTTCACTACTATTTTTAATTGTATGGATTTTAGAAGAGAAAGGAGGATTAGCTGTCTTTCTGTGGGGGTTACTGAAATAAAGCCAACTGAATGAATATATAAATAGAAGTGAAAATGGGTTTTGGTATTCTGAGACACAGTTTAAGAAAGTAGGCTGGGAACAGAATACATCCCGTGAAGGGTGGGAAGTACACGTCTGTTGGGTGATTGCTAATCTGATTTTTATAGTAACATTTAGAACTGAAAATGGTGAGGAGAGAAAGTGCCCAGATTAAACTATAAAATATAAGAAAAGTGGATATAATATAAAAAATAAACAATAGTGACAAAAAGTCAACATTCACAGGTTTATATCTTAAAGGTGACATATACCCTCTTGCATGCTGACATGGAGAGATAAGTAGTGAATCTTTTTCAAAAGAAATGCTCACTAGAGTACTAGTCTACTTCCTCCTGCATAGAAATCTACGTACTACACAGAAAGGGCAAACTCAAGAGCATTTGGACAAAGATGAAAGAGTTAAGGAACAAATAATATTGCAGAAATGTACCACAGCACAGTACATTCCCCACACATATCACAAAACTGGCACTAAGGTGACCTTCAGCAGTGCTAGATTTTAGCAATTTAGACACTGCCACAAATTTCACTTAAATGAATAGCAAGATAATTTCACTACTGGAGGGAATGATGGAAGTAACTGGTAACTTTTACCCTAATTGTTATAGTTTAAATCTAAAGTGTGCCCCAAAAGTCTCATGTATTCAGAGGTGAGGCTTTCAGAAAGTGATCGGATCACGAGGACTCTAACTTCATCAAGTGGATTAACCCATTGATCCATTCATTAGCTAATGGGTTTATGAGGAGTTGGGGCCTAATTGGATGAAATGGGCCATGTGGACATGGCTTTGAAGGGTATATTTTGTCCTTGGCCTCTTGCTGTCACTCTGTTCTGGCTGTCCTGAGGTAAGCAGCTTTCCTTTGCCACACCCTTCTACCATGATGCTCTGCCTCACCTCAGCTCACAGCAGTGGAACCAGCCAACCAAGCACTGAGATTTGTGAAACTGAGAGCCTGAGTACATTTTTGCTCTCTTTATGTTGACCTTGGGTATTCTGTCACAATAACAGAAAGCTGACTGGCACACTAATTCTTACAAAAGTTGAGAAGCTTGTGGTAATGGGAACCTGTCTGGGTTCAAAACAGACAAGAGAGGCAATACTGTGGTATACAGTTAGATACTAACAAGAAGGGAGTGGGCTTTCAAATTAAGTATGAGCAAAGATGTCTGAGGATCAGAACAGAGACACTTTCACAAAGCTGGATACTTATTAAAAACAAGTTCTGATGGGAGAATTGTGGGCTGTTTGTTGAGTTGAGGACGAAGAAGAGCTATCTAAAGGACCTGAGGTACATGGTCAAGAGGGCCTAAGAAGAAAGAAGGGCCCCTATCCTGACAAAATCGAATATAGAACAAGAGCCTGGGTCCATAAGAACCATGCCAGAAAGCCAAAACTTTCTCTTCCTTTAGGATGCGACATCCTGGCTCTGTGGTTCATACCTGAGAACCCTGAGCAAGGTTGTTCCTTCAGCTCAGTGACATACTCCGCCGCTGAGCGGCGGTGTGGGTCTAGACCACTCACCCAGGGCTCTGCATCCCCTCCCCTCTCACTTCAGGGGAGAGGGACACACCTCAGAGGATGAATACGGAGGAGGGACGGGGCTGTAGTTCAGAACAGATACTGCAGTGCTAAGTGACAAGAAAAGCAGTAGGCCTCTGAATCCTTTCTTTGCTCATCTACACTATCACAAAGCATGACTTTCTGATTGAAAAGTCTGAAAAAAACTAATAAAAAGGCACTGAGAGGGGGAAAGTATAAAGGAAAATTTTACTATCTAGTGTTTATTCTAGGTGTATACTTTATATTCATCTAGTTAGATTTAAGCACTACCTGCTGGATAAATGATAAATGTATGTGTTCTCACAAATAAGACCCAGACAATACACTACTGATTAGCAGGCATTTTTTTTTTTCCTTTTTAGAGACAGGGTCTCACTATGCAGTTCAGGCTGGTGTTGAGCTCACTTTGTAGTCCAGGCTGGTCTTGAACTCATAACAATACTCCTGTCTCAGCCTCCTGAGTACTGGGATTACAGGTGTGTGCCACCATACCTGGCTTAGCAGGCACTCTTGTTCCTCTTACTCCACCCCTAGGATTAAGGCATTCTTAGGCTATGGGCATTTTTCAATACTAGAGGTTTAGGAAAGATTTGCAAATTAAAGCCATAGAATGAAAACTTTCTGGTTAAGAAAAAATTACTATTCTGAATGAAAACTAAAAAAACCAGTTAAAAAAGTCTGGGTTAATAACATTTTCTTACTGTAAAAAGTTATATCAAGGTCGTTAAAAACAAAACAATACATTATACCTTATCATATGAATAAATAATGAAAGGTAAGAGTGGAAAATACAGTTGAATCATAGCATATATACATTTAACTCAGGCAAATTTAACAAAGGAAGAGTAAAAGAAAATTTAAAATGTGCCCAATTATGAATGTTACACTGATGTTATATTTATATTTATGGCTTTATACAAATGCATACACAAAACTCTGTTATGCATGCTCTTCTTTATGGGATATATACAAGGTAATTTTGACTACATGTAATTTAAGATATGACCACTTAGTAGTACTTGCCAATGTCAAAACAGTACAAAAACAATTTCCTGCTAGATACAAACCTATAGATTTCGACATTCTTGTTCTTTTGTCTAGAGAGTCTGGAGGCACTTGCTTCCCCAGCCACAATGATAGTGTTATTTTCCATGACGACGCCAGTGCACACAGTCCCTAAACCCTCCCCATACTTGGGAGACGAGATGAAATAGGTCTTCCGTGAAGCAGGATCATAACAAAAACTCGCATCCCCGTAGTTTCTGTATCTTGACCTGATTCCTGAAGAGTTGTTGCCAATGCAAAGCAGAAGACTGGTGGTCTCCATGCCATAGCGAAGATTCAGAGAGTGCTGCTGGGGTGTCTTGATGGCTTTGAATGCATTCTGAATGATGTCAATGCAGCCTGCATCACACAGCAGCATTGTATTCCTTTTGAGGGCCTGCCTTAAGAAAGAAGGATTTATAAGTTCCAACCTGACTTGCTTCAAAAGCTCAACGAGGTGCTCTGTGCGCAATTCTTGGTTATGATTTACCCATCTCAGCACCAAGTCTAGAATGCTCTCCTCTCTGGATATGTTAAGATCATCTGATTTAATAAGTGTCAGAAATTGGTGCACTTCCACGTCTAGTATTTCTTCATGTAAGCTCACCTCGGCGAAATGCTGATACAAATACTTCTTTGATTGATCAGATAAATCCTCAGCTCCGATCTGCTTTGCGAAATAATAAATTCCTACACAGTTGGAGGCATCCATGTGATCCATCATGTATTTCTGACACACACTAAAGACGTCTTCCATCTGCATAAAATAGGCAGCCATCGCCACAGTCTGCACGTTATCATTGTTGATCTCCAGAGCTGCACTGTACATGTAATTTAATATCACCAACACGCTCTCTGCTGTGATGTCATAGAGTACGACTTCCCTCTGAGTGCATTCAAGCAGTCCACAGGTGAACATAGCTTTGAAATAAGGACTAAACGCAGCCAGGACCAGTCTGTGACAAGGGAATTTTTCCTCCTCAGCTATGAGCACTACGTCAATCATTTCTGTTAATTCTCTCATGTTCTTAATTGTATTCAAAAAGTTCAAGCTATGTTGGTATTTTTCTTTTCCTTCAATCTTGTGCTCCATGACACAGTCTCTAAAGTTTCTGGATCTTCTTTATGGTTAGCTTGATTCCTGAGGAGCTATTTGCATTTCTGGTTACTCACAAATCAACAGAGATGCCATGAAACACTCCTGAAGGTGAGAAAACAAGCAGTTTTCATCTAAGAAAAAAATCTCTTTAATTGGAATATGCAGCATTAGTGCTGAGAAGCATTTAAAAATAAATATTATTCACTATAAACAGAGCAGTTTAAGAAAGTTATTTTTGCATCTGAAAATGTCTTTGATGTGTAACTAACAAATTATTAACTGCTATGAAAATATTTCCTAAACAGCAGTGGAGATTTTTCTAGGATTGGAAATTCTTCTTTCCCAACAGGAACAAAGAAAGAAGGGATAAGAGGAACAGACTTGCCATTCTAGGTCAGTTAAAAAATAGGGCTAACCTGCAGGCAGAGGGCACAAGGGCATCAGTTAATAGTAGCTCTAGATGCACTCTTACCCACAAGTTTATGTGAACCCTCTCCAAGTACATCCATGTGTTATAATGACCACACTGGGGCCACGTAGGATAGACCATGGAAACTGGATGAGTGGGGAAAAAGTACACTAAAATTTTGCTCACACTTTGATATTGGACAAATAATTCAAAGCAGGAGATAATACAAAGATCATTTCTACTGGCCTTTGAAAAGCACAGGCAAATGTCTGCTCGTCTGAGAATTCATGGTGTTTGGAACTTCCAGCAAAATCACCCTCAACCTAGAATGCACCAAAGCCTTCTGGTTTCTCTGTGCTCCCTCTTTGCTCAGCTTTTCTTTGTTCCCCATTTCATAGCGGCAGAACTGAACTGCTTCATGCCTTAGAAAGCACCAGTCTAATTAAAAGTCTCTTCAAGCTAGTAGTGCCATCTTTGCCTTCCCAGGGGCAATGGAAACAGGAGGTTTCAAGAAAGTTAATTAGCTGCTTTGATTTAAAAGATATTCCTAGAGCCAGGAACCTTCACGTGAGATCTCCAGTTCTGCCTCCTTCCTTAGCTCCTACTTGACTATAAAGATGTACACAGTGAGAATAAATGTTGACTGCAGAAAAGTCAGTACTGGGATTTAAGAAAGGAGAGCTGAGCAATAACATGAACACAAACTTTGCCAGTTATGAAGGGTAGATATTTTCTAAACTTCTGAAACCCTGTAAAGAATTAAAAATCTCATGAGAAATGACAGTTTTGAGCATTGGATTAAAGCTCATTTTAGGAGTGTTACGCATGACAGAATGTATAATTGTGTAATGACAACTTTAAGACCTACGGAACACTGTGCTGAAATCTGTGGAATTATAATAACTAGCCAATCTCAGAAGTTGTACACTTTAACCTCTCCTACCGCACTTGCTGGACTTTGTGGTGTCAATGGTTCAGTTCTTTCTGTCTGCAGGGACTGAACTCAGGGCCTTTACACTGAGCTATATCCGAGAGAAAGGGTATTTTTCTCTCTTCTTCTTCCTTTTTTTTTTTAGACCAGGACTCACTAAGTCGTTAAATTACTTATGCTGGGATTGAACTTGCAATCCTCCTGCCTCAGCCTCCCAGAGTGCTGTGATTACAGATATGCACCACCACCCACAGGTAATATTTTAGAAACAACTTCATAGTGGATAGTGTTGGGTTTCCTAAGCATCTAACCTGCCTTCATTTGGTGCAGTTGGGGTAAGGCTGACTCCCCACACACTGTTACTGGTTCGGGGCAGCACCAGACCTGAGACTGGCCTAATCAGAGTGAAGCGTGGGTCTTTGGTTTGATGATTAGGGGTTCACACACTGTAAAGGAGGGAGGTCAGGAACTGCCACAGCATGACCCTATAAACCAGCATGGAGACAAAGCAAATCTAGGACATACACAGAATAGAGCTATAGAATTTGAAACAGGCCTTATATCCATATTTTCCAGTTGTGAGAGACAGTTTAAGCTGATTTTAATCAGGATTGCTGATATTTTTAATCAAGAATCCATTGTGTATGTGGTATGAGCAAAAAATATTTAGAAAAGGTTGCCTAAGGTAATTGTGATTATATAAAATATTTTTGTTACATTCTTATATTTTCTATGATTAAACTGTCATGTAAGAGAACCATAGAAACCTCTTTTTAGTCTCTTTTTTCCTTGATAAAAAGCAACAATCACTTCAATCACTCTTTTGAGTTTGGCTCTTCTCATGAAATGGACACAAAGTCTGCACTCTTACCCACTCCCTCTAGTGCCAGGGCTGGGAAAACAGGGCCAGACAGCAACTATTTTAGCTTTGCAGGCCACACAGTCTCTGCTGCAATCCTCCAAGTTTGTAAACTAATGAGTGTGGCTGTGTTCCAGTACAATGTTTTATGGACAGCGAAACCGAATTTCATGTTTTTACATCATATTTTCACATGTCATAAAATATTATTCTTCTTTTGAATTTTACAAGTTGCTTAAAATTATGAAATCCATTCTTAGCTCATGGGCTATACGAAAATAAGTGGCAGGTTGCTGACTGCAGCTCTAATGCTATAAATAAATCCATCCTCTAGTTTGTGAGTAGGACAATATTCTGTCTATGTGACTAATCTCCACTTCTCTTAGATCCAGCGGAAGAGTTTTGAGAGAGGACTCTTCCTGTTTTAAGAAGATCACTTGGTTGTCCTTAGATTCTCAAATATACATCAATTTCTTGAATAAATATTGTACATGAATGCAGCTTCCCTGCCTCCAAATTGGCTCCAACAAACAATAAAAAAACAATTTATTTTAAGACAGAAATAACCATTTCATATACTCTAAAGAAACGTTTATCATAAAAAATTTAAATAGGCATATATATTTGTTAAGTATACTTTCCTTCCACATGCTCTTTATATGAGTTTTAAAATCTACTCTAATTGCTATGGATTTATAGATAAATGAATTTATTGATGGAAATCCTGAAAAATGCCTGTGAAGTTGAATTAGTCACCCCACTTCAGAAACATTCTCAGTATTGGGTTTTTTGGGGTATTTTTTTTCGTCTTTTTTTTTTTTTTTTTTGACAGGGTCTCGCTATGTAGCCCAGGCTGGCCTCAAAATTGCAGGGATCTTCCCACCTCAGCCTCCAGAGAGCTAGGATTACAGGTGTGTACCACCACACCCAGCTTCAGTGTTCTTGTATGCATAGAAGATACTAGCATGGCAGGTGGGACTCAGAAGTGAGAAAGCCTTGGGTCTGAATCCTGGGTTAGCTGCTTACATGCTGTAATCTTAAACTTATTTAACCTTTCTACACCTTGGATTCTTCCTTGGTACAATGGTGATAAAGTAACTTAAACAGTTAGATTAGTATTAGGCATCCAAGTGACCAGTTTAAAGGTTAGGAATGTGGATTTTGGTTTGCATAGAGTGAGCCCTGGGTTTGGATCCTTGTTCAACTACCAGTAATATGAACATGTTTGTTAGCCTCTTTAAATTCTAGTTTTCTCACCCTGGATTTCTTTTAAGACTTGATTGGGAGAAATGGATAAGACCATACATGTATAACTGTAATTTGCTTGGTTACATTTACTTGGTAAAGCTGATATAGAATATACCTGTACAAATACTTTTCAAACAGTAAAAATATTTGGGTGCACATATAAGCACTTGTTGATACAGACCCAGCTCATAAATGAAGAGAGCTGACGGCAACTTTTTCTCATAATGAGGGCAGAGAGTGCATTCTCCTTTCATCAGCAAAACAAAATTGTATAAATGTTCTCAATGATATCAATGGGAAGTTATTCTCTGCTCCAATTTATAGAGGACTGCACTGGTGCATTCTTAATAATAGTACCCATAATAATGGAGAAAAATGAATAGCAAAGATAAATATAAATCACAAGAATAAAGCCTAATTACTTTGCAAATCCACAATGCAGTTATACCCATGTTCGTTATAGTTGAGAAATGGGCTGCTATCAATTTTAGTGTGGGGCAAAAATGTCAATTTCCTTAAATCACAAATGTTTTGCTATTATAATCTTTTGTTATCTTCATATGATCTTTACAGTTGCTATTTTTCTGAATAATGGATGACACGACCATGCCTTCCTCTTTATGAAGATTTTCCATATTTTACTGAAGTTAAACTAATTTAAATTTATAGCAACACTGCTTGAAATAGTGAAAATTTGGAAAACTACCTCAGTGCCCATTAACAGCACAGATAGACAGTAGTATGTTCACTCAAAACAACCTCTCCTACTTCACTTGCTGGATATGATACAGATCTACAGGTATCCACATGGATGAATCTCTGCGTGAAAGAGTACAGAATAATGCTGCACACAGTTAATATGTTTAAAATGTGCAAAGCAGTATTATATATTCTAACAGAGTAAATGCAGACCACATATTCTGGTGAAGTAAATACAAACAACTGGTGGATTTAGTTAAGGGGGTTTTCAGTACTGTGCTTGGAACTTTTCTGTAAGTTTGGAAGTGTATCAAAATAAAAATTTAAAAAATGATATATTCTTGAAGGAGTCATAGCACTGTAGTGGCATATAAGGAAATGAAATGTAATTATAAATGCAGGACAGTGGCTGCCTTCAGGAGGTGTGGAAGGAGGGGGAGGAAAGAAGGGGAGGATAACAAAGTGTTTCAATAGTATAAATATTTAATTTTCCCAGCTGTGTGGTGGTACCCTATACATACTTTATTATTCTTGATGCTCTTTTCATGTCTTAAATATTGCCTATGTCACAATTTTTTAAAAACTGTATTATATTAATTACATAGCTTTTGAACCCCTAACCCCCATTATAGACCACATCTGTGCATTATCTAATAAACATGTCCTAGGTAAAGGGAGATAATAGATTATGAATTTTCATTTTAAAGGATCAAAGTGTAGGTAGCCCAGTTACAAGTGACTAGAAAATGCAAAAGATTAAAACCTCCAATCCAGTCTGAATGAGGACTGCTTTGAAACCTCAAGGCTGCAGCCCTCCTCCTTACTTTCCCTGGCATTGGTCTGTGTGATGGGAAGAGACTGGATTCCTGAAGCAGTGTATTTTGGGTATGAAAAAACTGAAAACTAGAGAACTGACTTAGACAGGGCTCCTAAAGCCACACAGTCTGCCTAAAACTCCCTCGTCAGACTTGGGTAGCAAACCAAGGAGAAAATATCCCATTTCCAATGTTTAAGTCAGAATCCTTTTGGCAGAGGGACCTTTTGAAAACTGATGATGACCATGTATAAAGTTTTTACCACATATTTTAAAAATTATCATGGGTCTACTTTTACCACCACTCTCTCAGGCTCCTCACAGTCTGGCACCTCCCACCCTTTCCTGCCTGTCTCCTGACTTCCTTTCCCTGGGACTGTCAATGTTTTGGTATTACTGAACTGCTAAAACACTAGTACATATCTGCTGTTCTCTATGTCAGGAGCATCCTTCTGCCCCAGTCCACCTGAAAAACTGTAACTGCCTCTCCCAAATTCAACCAGTCCTTCCCAATGAAGCCACCACTTCCTTTCCATGCTCAGCTGGACCTGTGCCTTGTGGCTGTTGCACTGTTGCTGCCATTTATTTATGCCATGCTTCCCTGCCCTTTCATGAAGAGCACAAGGTGTGTGTGTGTGTGTGTGTGTGTGTGTGTGTGTGTTTGGGGCTGGGTGTCTTAGGCCTTAATCACTTCTAATTTTTTAACATGGCTGTGAGGACACTTAGCAGATTTTTCTTCTACATACAAAAGTCATGCTTGATGCTGCAAGCTGCTAACCTCTTGTCCAGTCAAATACATCATTCAGAATTAGAAACAATCTTGATTCTCTTACGTACATACAGCTCGATGCATTATGAAATCTACCTCCATTCCTACACTCAAAAGTAATTCGCAGTCATCATCTCTCTGAGATTCAGGCCCCATTCGTAGGGAACATCAGGTTTACTTAGGCCAGAGAACACAAATTGGTTTGTAAATGTTTCCTTTCCTCTTTTCTTTCTCCCCCTCCCTCCCTCCCTTCCTTGTAAATTAGTTATCAATATGTAAGCTGAAATATTCCAACATCTCCTGGAAAAATGGAAGAAACAGCAACGATCAGCCTTTGATTCCCTGACAACACGCAGGATCTGAAAAGCCAGCGGCTGCCTCTAGGACAGCACATCCGCCCTCCAAGGGCCGGGCCCCCAGGGACCCCTGCTGAGAGCTGTCCTCGGTGCGCCTCTCACCTGCTCATTTGGATTACCTTACGGACATTGAGGCTGGCCACCCCTACTTTACGCCTGAGCCTCTCCATGCTGCCAGTTTCAGCATCATCTTGCTCAAACCAGACACGTGCAGATGCGCGGATCACGTGCACCGTCCTAAATGTGCTCCGAGCTTCCCGCTAGTGTGGAAAAGACCTGCTTTCATTTCAACAGTAATAATCCATCCTGCATGCTAGGCAGTGAATAATGGCCAGGCGCATGGATGATGAAGACAGTAAGACAAGTTTCCTTTTTCCCTTTCCTTTGATGAGATCACAATGTTTTGCACTCTCCCAGTGCTTTCTACTGTTCAAAGTGCTTTAATATGCATTATAGCTCATTAGTTCCTTTTAAGAATCATGTGGGGGAAATGTGGGGCAATTATTTTCCAGGCTTTAAAGTTAAAGAGAGTTGCCCAGGGATACAAGCCACGGCTACTGAATTTAAACGAACCATTCTAACTGCCAGGCGCTCTTCTAGGTCCTAGCTGCCCCTACCTTAGACGGAAGCTGGCCATCTGGTGAGGACGGCAGAGAGCGAGGCAGTGGAGGCTTCGGAGGAAGACGCTATGGCGAAGGCCAGGACACTGACACACCGACAGAGAGGAGCGGGGTGCTGGGTGCTGGGTGGTGGACACGACCTGGGCCAGAAGCCCCCAGCTGCCCCAGGGTCCTTAGGCTCAAGGTCACGCCAAGGTCGCGGGCTGTGCCCGCCTGGATCCCTGCCCTCCGCCCGTACTTACGCCCACTGCTCCGCAGGGCCCCGCGGTGGATGGTGCTGCGACCCGACCGCCTGGATTCCCTGGGGTCAGCGCACCGGGAGGGGCCTGACGGGCTGCACTGCCCAATATGGGCCTGAGCCGGCCCAGCGATATAAATAGACGGTGCAGGGCTGGCAGGGGGCCACGGGTCTGAGCCCCGCCGCGGGGGAGGGAGGGACGGAGGGCCCTGGCTCGGCTCTTGGGTGACAGCTGCTCGCTTCGGCACTAGAGGAGGCCAAGGGCACGCGCCGACGGCTGCTCTGCGCCTGCGCGAGTCTTCCCGCGCAGATTCTAGGCGGCATCTACCGCAGCCCTGCGGCGCCTCTGCGCCTGCGCGAGCCTTCCCGCGCTCGCCCGCGTGCCAGAGGGCTGAAGACTGCCGTCTGGGCCAGGAAAGCCAACGGCATTTTAAACGAGAATCTGGAAATTGGACTTCTCAAGGTGATGGATCTTTCATTTAATCCGTTAAAGTTGCAAAACGAACAGAAAATCCCCTTGTGTGAGCCTATGGGGTCGGGTTGCCAGGTAAAATGGAGGAGCCCACTTAAACGTAAAGTTCAGATATGCAACCAGTGTTTTTTAGTATAATATGTTCCGGGTATTGGTCAATTCATTTTTAAATTAAGGTCCTCATTTGTGTGTGTGTGTGTTTGTCACACTGAAAACACAATTTTGTTGGTAAGTAAATTCCCTTAAAACATTTTAGAAGGTTTTTGTGTCAATGAAGAATCTTTGCATGCATTTCTTTTTAACATGCTATGTATGTGTAGTTATTTGAGAAAATTCTTCTCTTCCTTTCTTAAAAATGTTCTCTGACCTATTAGCCCCATTTAAATCCTTCTACATTTGTTTATATTCCCACTTCTGGTTTTATTGACAGAGTGTTGTGCAAAGCTAATAAGTCTTTCTCAGCTTGCTGTAGTGCCCTTGTCCAGTTCCTATTTGACTATTTTATTGCACCTTTTTTATTTGTTATAAGAAATGAGATGTCCTGTGAACTGTCATGGCTTGAGATCCAGAGACCAAGTTAGATATCTGGTTCTATCATTAAGTGCTGTTAGATGATTCTCAAAATATTCATTTACCAAATGATTAGTGAAATGTAAATATTTATACTGATTTACCAAAAAGAAGAGGGCTGGAAGGCTTTTCAGTCTTGAGGGATGACTTTTAAGAACAGCTTGGGGGTGGGGCAAATTAGTTTAGTCCTTGTTTTTCTGTGTGAGTGTATGCATGTGCATGCACATCTGTATGTTAGCTTTAGAACTTGCAGCTTTGGGTTCAACACCTGTGGGCCTCTATGGGAGGGTGGGGCTTCCCAGAAGCTGCAAGGCCACCACCTCCTCCTCCTTCTTCTTCTCCTTCTCTTCCTCCTCCTCCCCTGTCTTCTCCCTTCCCCTCCTCCTTCTCCTTCTCCTCTTCTACCTCCTCCGCCCTCTCCTCCTCCCCCTTCCCCTCCTTCTTCTTCTCCTCCTCCTTCTCCTTCTTCTTCTTCTTGTCCTTGATGGTGGTTCTTGTCTGAAGGGCTCAAAGTGTTGTTGTTGTTACCTGTTCACATTCTCACCCTACAGAGCTTCATATTCCAGCTGTGTGCACACACCTGCTGCTTTCCTATTGTGTCAGCCAGTTTTCCATCACTGTAACAAATATCTGAGACAATCCACTTATAAAGAGCAAAAGTTTAATTTGATTCATAATTTTGGAAATTTGGGTCCATGTTGGGCCCTAGAAGAACATGGCAGGGTACACCCACTTATTTCATGGCCAGGAACTGAAAGAGGAAAAAGAAGAGACCAAGGTCTCAAAATGTCCTTTGAGGACCTGTCTCCAATAACCGGAAGACCTCCACTAGCCCCCACCTCTTCAAACTCCTACCACCTTTCGGTATTGCCAAGCTGGGGAGCAAGCCTTCAACACCAGGGCTTTCCGGACAGTCCGGATTCAAACTGTAGGCCCCCCAAGCCTTCAGTCTTCCAAATGGCCAGGGAATGGTCACTAATTTTAGATGAGTGTGAGGAAAAAGAGGTACAAGAAAAGGAAGGTGGCCCTAGAGCTGGGGCATCCAGTGTTCTGGCCTGGCTCTGGTCCCTCCCTGCAGCCTCATGGCATCCTGTAAGTCACCAAGCTTCTGGACTACAATAGGCAGACGACAGTTGGCCTGTCTCACATGTTGGTTACTATGTGGGTGAGTTAGGAGAGCTAATGGGTGAGAAAGTGCTTTGTTTTTTTTTTTTTTTTTTTTTTTTGTTTTTCTCCAGTACCAGGAACCGAACTCACGACCTTGCGCTTGCCAGGCAGGCGCTTTTGCCGCTGAGCTAAATCTCCAGCCCCGAGAAAGTGCTTTGTTAACTGGAAAGTTATGCCAAATCATTTTCCCCCAAGAGGCATGTGTTTTTAAATGGGATCTCTTTTCCTCAAAATCTTAAAAATGGCACAGAAAGCCATCTCCTACTGATAATCTTTATTTCTTTCTGTTGTGAACATGGTATGGACCATATTTCTTGAACCATATTTCTTCTACTTGAAGACTCTGTAAAGGGAAGCTAGAGAGCAAAGCCATTATGTGTTCATTAATCCACACTTCCACACTTAGGAGATAGTGAGTCAGGTTCAGATAGGCCTTCTGTCCTGAGGGGATTCTGGGTCACCCGCAGCTTAATCTTGACAGGGTTTGTTAAAAAAAAAAATGAAACCTTCTTGAAGCCAAACTTCTCATATTCCACCACTATTTCATTTCCCTAGCAATGATATTCCTAAATCCTGAGCACATGAATATTCAAAGTCCTGTTTTAGGCAAGCTCAAGTAGTTTCTAAACACACAGGCATGATTAGTTGTTTGTTGCCTTATTAAGTAATGACCTGAGGCCTGCATACTGTAAGACATGTAGGCTTGGCTGCATGTGTAATGACCTGCATACTGTAAGACATGTAGGCTTGGCTGCTTCAATACAGAATTAGAATGAGTCGTGTGTGTGTGTGTGTGTGTGTGTGTGTGTGTGTGTGTGTGTGTGTGTAGTGGGTGCCTATAATTCCAGCCACTTGGGAGGCTGAGGCAGGAGGGTCACAAGTTCAAGGTCAGCTGGGCAATTTAGTGAGATGCTGTCTCAAAAGGGGAGGGGTGCTCAGTAGTAGAATAGTACCTCAAATAAAAAAAAAAAGGAAAGATAAGAAAAAAGGAAATAATTAGGAGAGTTTCCTTTTTTTGGTCTTTTTGAGACAGGGTCTCACTATGTATTTCAGGCTGTCCTTGAGCTCACTTTGTAGTCTTGAACTCACAGAGATCCTCCTGCCTCAGCCTCCCCAGTGCTGGGATTACAGGCATGCAACACCATGCCTGGCCTTTGGGTTTTTTTTTTTTTTTTTGAGTTTCCTAATCAGAAGGGAAATTTCTTTCGTGTAACTGCCTAGGTGGGCACCGAAAGGCTGATAAGGTGCCTGTCATTGACCCAAACTCCTTGTTCTACTTCTGTTCAAGCATCTTTCTCACCCACCTGCCCCAAGAGGACCTCCACCATTTCCAGCAAGGGGGAGGAGTAAGAGGGAGATAAGCCCTTCCCTCCAAGGGGGCACCTGGAAGTCACAGACGTGACTTTTGTTCAGCTGTTGCTGGCCCCCACCAAGTTTCATGGCCACACCTAGCTGCAAAGGATGGGAACTGGAAAGTCTAGATGATCTCAGGTGACCAATGTTTTTATTCACAAAAATAAAATTATATTGTATTTAAAGCTAGCATTCTTGGCCACACCCAGTTTCTAGAGAGTCACGAGCTCTCATTTCACCCTTCACCCTTCACAGATCTCCAGCTCCTCTCAGGTTGAGTTTTGCCTCTGTTCACATAACCATATGGCTCATGGTTCTTCTTCCAAATGCTGTGAGGGCAGGGACTGTGGCTGTCGCTGCCCTTCCTTGTGTCTCCAGAGTATAACACAGTGCTTGGCGCAGAGTAAGTGCGAGTTGTTGGGAAATGAACAAATATGATTAGGGAACGTCTCATTGTCTCCTAAATCCAGCTTGGACATCACCTCTTCTGTGTAGCTTTCCCAGAAGAGCTTGCCAGCTGAATTACTGATGCTGTCTTGTGTGTTCCCACAGCACCCCTGCTCTGCACCACTGCTGGTAGATGGCCCTTGTCTCATGGCATTACAGTGATTCAGGATCTCATAGCCTTCAGGGCAGAGAGTGGTTCACTTATATTTGCCTCGCCAGGAATCAGCATATGGCTGGCCCATAGCAGGTGCTGGTATTTAACTGTTTCTCTCAAAATTCAGGTTGAAATGCAATTGCCGCTGATGGAATTGGGAGGTGGAACCTTGAGAGGTCACTATGTCGTGAGGCTGTCACCATGATGGATGGATGAAGGTTGTTATGAGGGGGTGGATTAGTCACTATGGGAACTCACTCCATTCTCTGTCTCATGTGCTCTTGCCTACCCTTTCACTGTGTTATAGCCTTACCTGAAGGCCCTCACCACATGTGGCCCTTGACCTTTGACTTTCTAGCCTTCAAAACTATGAGAAATACTCTTCTTTTCTTTACAAGTTACCCAGTGTGTGGTACTCTGTTACAGCAGCAGAAAACTGACTAAGACAGGGGCCCATTAATTGATTTTGGAAACAAATGACTTCTATGTAGAACAAGGGAGCTTTTGCTTTCCCTTGTTGTTGATGCTGCTCATTGTATCTTCTCTTGGTGCTGCTCATTGTATCTTCTCTACCAAAACATCCTTCTTGCATCAGACTCCCGCCCTTCCTACTACCTGCTAGTGCCCAGGGGCAGGGCTGTCTCATACCGTATTGCAGAAGAAAGGTCTGGTCTACCAGTGAACCCATGTACTTCAGCTTCTCTTTAAAGTCCCACCTGAATTCTGTGTTTTGTCCTGTTAATTTGGCATTGGTGTCAGAAGGGTAATGCCTCCCTCGCCATCTGTCCCTTCCTGTGGTCATTTCACAGATGGTTATCATGTACTGATTCTGTGCCAGGTGTAGCTAGATGCTAGCGAATACAATTGTGACTAAATAGACATGGTTCACTGGAGAATGTAATCTGGTAAGGTGACAGATAATCAGTCTCTAGCATCTTAATCCTCTTTGCTGCCTTTTAGCATAGAAACCTTTTCTGATCCTTAAAAAATAAATCCTTAAGTCTTTCAGTTACCTTGGCTGCCCTTCCTAGTGGCTTTTTCTCCTTTCCTCTTTATGCCCAGTGGTTACAAATATGTGACCTGTGCTGCGGTGGCCATATACTCACCATTC